CGCTGCATATACGCGAAAACGATAAACGAAAGTTATGGAGAACCCGACAAATATTTATTACTTCACTTCAACACTTATTCGTCCATATAAAACTGAACATTNCGTTTTTGTGAAGCTCTAAAAATTACAACTACAACATTTGAACATAGCCCCCATACCTTAAGGTAAGACGTATTCTACGTCAAAAAAGACCAAGTGTATTTAGCCTACAGAAATATGCATTCATACTATTATATAATTTTGAACAAAGCTCCAATTACATGACTTATATAGGTTGTTCACACNAAAAAAAATTCAAATCCGCATAAAAAAAGACCAAGTGTATTTAGCCTACAGAAATATGTATTCATACTATTATATAATTTTGAACAAAGCTCCAATTACATGACTTATATAGGTTGTTCACACTGGAAAAGTGTCAATCATCCTAATGTCATAACTATTAATTGTATTTAATTATTTAATATATCATATACGTCAATATTGCACTATTCTTATATTTCAGCTAAATTTTTGGGATCATATGAAGATTATTTTGTGTCCACGCATGAGCGCCATCACATACATGGACCACGAAAAGATTTTCCGTACTTATCGATTCTCAACTATCAAGCAACATGGCTGTTCTAAGGATCTTTACCAAAAAATTCGTTATGCACACAAGAAACTTAGTAAAATGTTGGAGAAAATGTTATTTTAGTTCGAAATCATTAAATTTTCAGTAGAAGCAGCTAGCTTAAGATTCGTATGGCCTTTTGCGTTAATTTGGCCATTCTAATGTATAATGTGTTAAAGTTTCTACTAGCGCTAAATTAATTGATTTACTGTCCCGTGAAAAAACAAATATTTTCTATAAAATGTTTGTTTTTTTTATAATTAGTTTTATTTTGTATGATCGTATTTTCTTCTTTTGTTAATTTTTTGTTCATTATATTTAGCACTTATTTCATTACATCCATGGCACATTCCATTCATGCAATACATGGCGCTTGTCGCCATCATAAAAGAGAAGGCGACACATTCACCAGCACGAATTAGGAGCGGGTTTTTTACCTCTGCCTCCTCATAGCCAGGTTTGCTGCATACATTAAAATACAAACATACATACATAACTATATCGATAAATAAAGGAAACAACGTTTAAATTTAGGTTTTAATAAATTTTAGTTTGTGTTTTTAATGTCATTAATAAAAATACAAAATTATATTATTAAATTAAAATAAATGGCCGGAGTTTAAAATGTTTGAACAACGAGTTTTTGGAAACAAATTGAGGTTGTTCACAATGGTTCACACTTGCCTGGTTATCAGGTTATCTGGTTGAAAATTATTATTGTGTAGTGTATTTTATTGTTGTAAACTGAATGAAAAATATAACCACATAACCTGATAACCAGGCAAGCAACAACCTCATTGTATTTAAATGCTAAATGTGGACCACTAAAAATTGCTAGTAGCCTATTTAATATCCAATAAGATCGGCGGAAGTTTAGGTTTGTATTTCGATATCTTTGAAAATTAGCGCCAAATGAATGCTTCCCAAGCCATTTGTCACATCCGTTTGTCAGTGGCTTATTTGCTTGCTTAAAAGCATTCGTAAATATTTACGAATTCGTACAGCGAAGCAAGGGAAGATTAATAGTGTGTTCGAGCAATGCAATAGTTACCGCAATGTTGCAACCTTTCTGCATTTAATTTGCAAGTGATGAGCGACGGATTGTTAAATTTTCGTTCCTCGAATGCGTGCTGGAGGCAGTGTGGCCCAAATTTTCGCGTAGAACGTGATGCTCTCATAAAAAACACTGCCACATTTATTGCAGCTCGAACACCCTAATTGACAGATGACTTGCCATATGGCGACATCTAAGAGCGCGGTTACCCACGAACGTGTACGTAGCGTAGCGTAGAAATACGTGAAATGATATCAAGTGTGCTGTTGATAGAAAGAGAGATAAGCAGCGTCTACGTCATGATCTACGTCACGGTGGCGGTACGCGGTGGTGAGTTTTTATTAACACGCAGATCCAAGGCGCCTTGCGCAGATCTCATAAGATAGATCGTGTCAGCTGACACGTTCTCCGTTTTTACGCCCGCTTTTACGCTTTAACATTGGAAAATTGACTTGAAGACTGTTTAATTAAAAGCATTTTATGCAGAAAAACAGGTTAATTCACAAGGAATATATTACATTCAGCATTTGACTACGTTGGCATAGTTGCTCCAGCGCGAATCGGTTAGACTGCTTTTACACAGTTCAGAAGAAAAAGGTGAAGAGAGAAGGGACGAGTACACATGCGTCTGTACCGTCAAGTCGTTTCAACTTTCTTGCTTTGCTTTTAGCATTTTCGTGGCTTCCCATTTAAAGAACCAAAAACATGAATTCAACAGAATTGAAACGTATAAAAGCAAATAGAAAACACAAAAGAGAATGAGCAAGAATTGCTTTGAAATACTTGAATCATGTAAATCGGGTGTTAGGGACATTTAGGAATGTCGAAAAAACATCGATGCAGCGAAAATATCGATGTTTTGCCTCGATGCATCGAAAATTTACCACTCGATGTATAAATAGTCGATACAACATTTTATTAGCTGTTAAACTGCATACTCAAAATGTTCCAAACACTCAGATTAAAATGTTAAATATATTGATGAACATTTGTTGAATTTTTCTAAATTTTATATAAAGTTTGAAACGATGTTACATGGTTTTGGCTAAAGCATGAGCACTATTCATATAAAAAATAACAAAAATGTTAACGTAAACGTAAAATGTTAAAAACATAATGAATAATTAAATAAAAAAAATCAACACGTGAACACTTGTTTCAGTCGCTACTACCAAGGTGTATTTTTATAATAATTTGTTACACTCCGGCTCACACCTCATCAATCAACTGGATAAAATAATTTTTGGTTTTGTTTCTACAATCAATATTTTGCATAACCTGGCGTCGTAAGAATCAGTTTGTGGTTCCAGCGTTCTCTGGATGTACGCGGTCCGATGCATCGACAAATATCGATGTAAGTTTCGCGGCATCGACTTGGGGGAAAAAGATCGATGTATTTGTGCCATTGATATTCCTAGGGACATTTATGCACTTGGCTGAACCGGTTTGGGACTTATCCCTTTTTCTTTTCATCGAATATTCGCAAATTTTACAAAACGAAACGTGATAAAAATAGCAAACGAAAGAAAGTCGAAAAAGAAGAAAATTAATTTTTTTGGAAAAGATTTTTTTTAAACCTCGGAACAGGAAATTTTCCCACGACATACTTTCAGGCAATTAGCTGCGTCGAGATGGTAAGTGAGGTCCAAGAGTATAAACAGTACAACATTCATTGTAGGTACTCGCAAAGAATCAATTCAAGGGGGAGAGATTTGCAACTGACATCCAATGGAATTTGTTTGCCTTCACTATTTTGTGCAAATAAAATAACAATGAGGTCCTGATTCTTATCAAACAGCTTCAGGAATAGAAGCAGTTTGGTGCCGTTGGGATCTTGGGGACTTTAATGACTAAATATTTTTTTAATTCGATCTTAAAGTCTTCGATGTGATTGATTTGTGGTCAGTAAGAAGCCCCAAATGTTGGGCAGAATGTTAAATAACAGGTACGCACTATGCACTTCTGACAAACGAATGAGACAATTGTTCTTTATGTTAGTGTGCAAAAAAAAGAAATTTAGTTGGTCAGAAAATCTTAATGAAATAATACATTATATTATAATAGTTCTAATAAAGAGTATAGCATAGAAATTCTTTTAAAACCTTTGTTTCTAGAATAAATTGAAGTCTACACAGAAAGATAAGGTGAAAAGATTCATTTCGCTTACGCAGACTGGCGAACAAACGGCTATATACTGCCTGCAACAGAATGACTGGAAGTTGGAATTAGCGAGCGATAACTACTTTCAGAATCCAGAATACTATTATCGTGAGCTAGATCGTAAACGAATTGAACAGCTCTTCCTGCGTTACCGAGATCCATGCGAACCACAAAAGATAACCGCCGATGGAGTTATACGTTTTCTGGAAGATCTCGCCTTAAGTCCAGATTCAAAGTTGGTCTTGATTATTGCATGGAAATTCCGCGCTGAAGTGCAATGCGAATTCAAACATGATGAATTCGTGAATGGCATGGGAGAACTGGGTGTGGATAGTATCGATAAGCTGAAAGCGAAATTGCCTCAGTTAGAAATGGAGTTAAATGATCCATCCAAGTTTAAGGACTTTTATCAATTTACTTTCAATTATGCGAAGGATCCGGGTCAGAAAGGAATCGATTTAAATATGGCCATTGTATATTGGAAAATTGTTCTCAGCAGTCGATTTAAATTCTTGGATTTATGGTGTAGGTTTTTGGAGGTAAGTGAAATATTATTGTGCATATATTATGTGTATGGTTTTCGTAAACATTTTTTTTTTTTACTTAAACCGTAGGAAAAACATAAGCGTTCGATACCCAAAGACACTTGGAATTTGCTATTGGATTTTGCTACTCACATTGATGACAATATGAGTAACTACGATTCAGAGGGAGCATGGCCAGTGCTTATTGATGATTTTGTCGAATGGTGTCACGAAAATCATCTAATGGCTACCCAGCAGCATCCTCAGCAACAACATCATCAGCTACTCGCTAACTATCAGCCTCAACTACAGACTATGCCAGCGCAGCAGCAACAACAGCAGCGCAATATATCGAGCAGTTACCAGCCGACCTCGCATAGTACAAACATTAATTATGGCTAACGTTTATTTAATATCCTAATTATTTTAATAATAAATTTGCTTTTATTCTTATTATTATAAATAATTATAGCATAAACTTTGAATTAGTGAGCGCTTCTTTCAACCTACAAAACCGCCAATCTACAGATTGATATACACGAAAATTCATACATTCAAACCGCAACTTTTTCGGACCTAAATATCGAATCTCGGCCAGCGCAGATCAGAGCGTATACTCGAAAATTAAACTTAAAACCAAATTAAATAATGTTATAAAACTGTTGACTGTAGAATATGTTTTTGGTTTATATAACATAATNAAACCAAATTAAATAATGTTATAAAACTGTTGACTGTAGAATATGTTTTTAGTTTATATAACATACGAAAGTATAACTTGTTTGAGTGTGAAATACAAAATGAAAATCCTTTCCGACCTAAAACAAAACATAATACATATTAAACTAATATTAACATAAAAGTTATGGAAATATAAAAATGGAAAAAATAATATTAAAAATTGAAGCGTAAATTAACGAGAAACTGTAAAGATGAAAATAATAATAAACTTCTTTAATATATAAAAACTAAGGATGCTATAAAATCAATAAACGCGTTTTAGGCAAATAAAGGTATATATGTATTGTTTTGAAGGTTAATAATATATAGCTGACGATATTTTTATTGGCAGCCCATTTTTAAAAATACCCATTTTCTTGAAAGTTTTCTATATATAGTATGGGTTCTTGATCTATTTCTATTTCAAAATTTTTTATCATCACTTGGAAATTTAAAGATATGACAACCACCCTGTACTTCCGGTAGTACATTCCAATAATTCCCGGTAGTGCATTCCAAAAAAATTCCAGCCAATGTTTGACATTTTGTTTTGTTTTACTTTTCGTAGTTTTCTGACTTTTGACGTTTCCACTTTTCTCTCTGTATAACGAATTTCGTTCGCGAACGCTGCAAAAAGTCCATCGACGTCGAGTGAAGTGGAAGAATTTTCGGATGCGAATTTTTACCATAAATTTGTGCTAAATTTTGGAAAAAATGTGCAGAAAGTGAGCAATGAAGGTCCAACAACAGATGTGTGTGCGAAAAGTGCGATTTTGCAAAGTGAATGCGTTGAAAAAGCGAAGTGAAAAAGTGGCTAAAGAAAATTTTCTACATCAGCAGTGACCAGTCAACCAACAATAGTAACAACCACTAATCATAGCAGTTAAACAACAAAAGAAACAATAGCTGCTTCAATACATACCCAGACAAGACCTACACCAAGCAGAGAAATCGGATGGAACACTCTAATTGGTCAAAAAGAGTGTGAAGGTGAGATTAACAAAACATCAGATCTACAAACCCAGTCTATCGGCTTTAAAGACGATGTCTAGAAAAAGTAAGATCAAAGCAACTTAATTACAAGAAATACTGTNTTGGTCAAAAAGAGTGTGAAGGTGAGATTAACAAAACATCAGATCTACAACTAAACCAACCCAGTCTATCGGCTTTAAAGACGATGTCTAGAAAAAGTAAGATCAAAGCAACTTAATTACAAGAAATACTGGAAAGCTCTTGGAGGATGTGACATAGGCGTTTTTAACAGTAATATGTATTTACGGATAGGACTTCTTTATGTATGTACACACACATATATCTACTATACACAAAACAAATGTGGGTGGTAGGAAAAGAACTGTGGGCGCCATTACTCGCTTGTCGAAGAGGTCGCCGACGGACGGTCGGTGGCCACGGCCTTCATTGATCTCCTTGCATGAGGGCGACCTTGGATCTTATTGTCCACACATACAAAACTATTGCAAGAAAACACAAAACGCCTTTCCGCATGTTTTACTGGAAAGGCCCAAGAAAGTGTGCATTTCACTGCCACCAAAAGTGTTTGCAAATCGAGTATCCTTCTTTTTTTTTGTTTATTATTGAATCATGGATATTCATATTGCTCATTTACTAAAGGACACATACCCAAAAAACGCGATTTTTTAAGAGACGCTTAAAATTTTCAGTGTGCTCCAAAAATGCAGAAGAAAGGGATTCTAGCGTCTTCTTTCATGGATACTACATTCATAAATATGTCCATAGCGGCAATAAAAGAGCAACAAAAAAAAAATTAAATAGGTACCTAGTAGAATATGTTAAATATGAAGCAGCCGAAAACTGAATTAAAATAAGAGTATCAGCGTGCATGATGGACAAAGGCCATGAAAAAATTAAATGTAGCTATTCGCTCTATGCATGTATAGAATGATATAAAAACCATAGAAGAAAAAGATATGACAAATTACCCAATGGCTATTATCCATTTTATTTCTCAAATGAAAATTATAGCGTGAATGACGATGGCAAAGTCGCCAACACGTATGAATGTAATTACATATATGCGTATGTGAAATGGTAGTATCGTTGCACCGTGATCTGAACTTGTGCAAAATTGCAATAAAATTCCCGAAGCGATTACATTTCGCATAAAATGCAGAACGTTTTGGTTGACGAACAATAATCCAATAAAAACTTGTTTTAAGTAGATTTGATTAAGAAGAAATATGTTGCTGAAACCGAACCAGGGACCACCTTGTCTCTCTGTTGTTGTTGTTGTTCTTGTAACAGCATACATATACCCCAAAGAATTTTTGGGGAGTGTTGCTGGAGTGACAGTCCTTGGCCAGATATAAATATTGGTCGTTCCTGTTATGTAGCCCCGACTGTCGTGGGAACGATGGTCTCTCTGGGCAGTTCCGCTTCGTTGGTATTAATGGGCGGCGGTTGACCGCCTGAATGTGCTCTTAATATTATCACGTATTCTACGTTTAAGTTTAGCGGCTGTGGCTCCGGCAAAGCCCGCAGGTCAAGACGAAGGCGCTCGACTGATCCTTTTTATGTATATTTAGCCGCTCCCACACATACTGTATAGTATATTTCCCTACTACTTCTGGAGTTTTTCGAGCATTTAAAAAAAAAAGAAAGTGTTTTCTAATGACAACATCAAGGCGGATCACAAATCGGAGGAGAAGCTCGGTCAAACACTAACATGTTGTTTAAGCGCCAATCTATTATTATCATGTACCGTTGCGGGGTGACAGTTTGGAAGATTATCTCCATATTCCCAGAGGATATGGCCTTTCCTTTTGCAAAGCCTCCCAGNAAAGAATTTTTGGGGAGTGTTGCTGGAGTGACAGTCCTTGGCCAGATATAAATATTGGTCGTTCCTGTTACGTAGCCCCGACTGTCGTGGGAACGATGGTCTCTCTTGGCAGTTCCGCTTCGTTGGTGTTAATGGGCGGCGGTTGACCGCCTGAATGTGCTCTTAATATTATCACGTATTCTACGTTTAAGTTTAGCGGCTGTGGCTCCGGCAAAGCCCGCAGGTCAAGACGAAGGCGCTCGACTGATCCTTTTTATGTATATTTAGCCCCTCACACACTTACTGTATAGTATATTTCCCTACTACTTCTAGAGTTTTCGAGCATTTAAAAAAAGGAAGTGTTTTCTAANGTTAATGGGCGGCGGTTGACCGCCTGAATGTGCTCTTAATATTATCACGTATTCTACGTTTAAGTTTAGCGGCTGTGGCTCCGGCAAAGCCCGCAGGTCAAGACGAAGGCGCTCGACTGATCCTTTTTATGTATATTTAGCCCCTCACACACTTACTGTATAGTATATTTCCCTACTACTTCTAGAGTTTTCGAGCATTTAAAAAAAGGAAGTGTTTTCTAATGACAACATCAAGGCGCATGCCACAAATCGGAGGAGAAGCTCGGTCAAACACTAACATGTTGTTTAAGCGCTAATCTATTATTATCATGTACCGTTGCGGGGTGACAGTTTGGAAGATTATCTCCATATTCCCAGAGGATATGGCCTTTCCTTTTGCAAAGCCTCCCATCAAAGTATAGCAGAGTTCGTTTGGCATCCTGTTCTATTGTTTGACGAACTTCTTACAGCCCTGTCGTCGGATATGGACGCATGACAGTCGTTGTAGCTTGGTGAACGATTGTTTTGTCGTGGTTAAAGTAGGTCTTGGTTATTATTGATTGTACCATCGTATAGCTTTCTTTGGACTTTGAGTCCGCATCCCTAGGACTTGCCTATTGTCCCAGTATTAGTGCGCGTACCAGTTTCTCGTTTTCATTGTGTCCCAGTAAAATTGCCTGCTTAAAATTCCTGTGGAACCATTTAACCTTATTAATGAACATTGCTTACGCATAACTATTTTGAGAAACCGCCAACAATCTCCTTTTAGGTAGGAGATGAAAGCTTAAAATGTACTGTACAAAATGTCCTCGTTAAATTAGGTTAAATTATATTTTAAATCGTTTTATAACTAAAATATCATGTAGATAATATTTTCGATAAACTATTCGCTCTCTCACCCCGAAGCAGATAAAATATGTTCCTCTATTGGAAACATCGCAATTTTATTACTGATTCCATTTTTGGAAAGCTTTTGCAGCAGGGACGTGAACCGGATGAAAAAAGTGGTCGGTTCGGTTCAGCGGTTCGAACCGTTAATGCACTTTTGGATTAGTTCGTCAAAGCGGGTTTTTTGGTGTTTGAACCGGGGTTTCGATTCGGTTCAACGATTCGAAAAACAAAAAAAAAATAACGCGCAAGTTTAAGTGTCAAGTGCAACAACGCGCAAGGTTAAGGGTCAAGTGTATGTCAAATGAGATGGGTTGCCTTTACATTTGATATTGTCACATGGTAAACAAACATGGTAGGTATTACCATGTTTAACAAAAAGAAAAAAGTGGGTACATTTATCTATTGAAAATTGGTTTAAATGAACCTTTAAACCTTTATAGAAAGTGGTTCGGTTTTCGGTTCGGATCAAACATTTGTGGAAAATTTGGGTTCGGTTAATGGTTCAGTTAATTAATAGAAAAAAGCGGTTTCCGGTTCAAAACTGGTTCGGTTCAAAACCGGTTCACGTCCCTGTTTTGCAGTGTTAGTTCTATCCGGTCATAAAACGCGATAGTGCTAATAGCAGTTCCTCCAAACTCAAAATTGGTTTCATAACTTAGTTGAACTATTCAAAGTATCTAAACATACATGCAATTATTTAGTCTTTTAAACTGACCACTATCGGCATTTGATTGTTTCCATTTTCACACTTTTCTTAATTCTTGATTTGCACACTTTTATAGCTACATTTTTATTCTTATTTTACTACAAAAATAATTCGGCCACATGCCCTCCATCACATAACAAGACATGCAATGACAAACACATGCAAATTATTTCTATTACGCTGTCGTTCTCGGCCGACAAGGCAGTAGTAGCCCTACATTATAGCATT